AACACGGGGGTGTAACCAGTTACAGCAAGGCCAAAGCTAATTTTGAGCTAAAGAAACAGGAAAAACATTGTGGGTGTAACCAGTTAACGTCTGCATGTAACCGGTTACCACTGAAAGGAGAATTAATTTTGTGTCAACTTTAATTGGTTACAGGTTTTATGTAACCTGTTATATACCCGTGTTTTTTGTTTTTTCTGTTATGTAATTTTGTGAATTATGGCCCAATCACTTTTGTAATACTTGTATAAATCCCTTGGAGGCATCTTCATCCTTGTTAATTAAAATAATCTCACCCTCAATTATCTCTCTCTATCAATTTCCTCTTTCCCTTTCTACACTCTAATTTTTCTCCATTATTCACCAATCTTGTGGTTCCAAGTTCTAACAAGGCAGGGGAGGGCGTGAGGCAAGGCGGGTATTAGCATCCATGTCCTGATAATTAAAATTGTGTTTTTTCCGCACCCACACTTAGTTAGGTTGACATTTTCCCATTTGGTTCGAGACGAGAACGGATTTTTTTTACCATGCCTAATGTTTGATATGAGAAGAGTAAGGTAATTAGATTTTTTTTCATGTGATCAATTTGATGATTATGATAAGGTAATATAAAAAAGAGAATCCTCAATGCTATAAAGTGGATGTGGTTGAAGATGTAGTCGAGGAAGATTCTCCAAATGAGTCGCCTTTGTTGCCTATTGAATATATTATGGTAAATTCTATTGACGCGATTAAGGAAGGGCAAGATAAAGAAATCAAGAAATATAGCCATGTAATATCAAAAAGAGAGACATTGAGTATTCCTGAACCAAGTGTCTTAGGGTCAATAAAATATCAAAAGTCTAAGATCCTTAAAGTGAAAGAGAATCCTCCACAACAAAATTTTTCTCTCTTGAGAAAACAACCGAGGCCACATGATCGAATTTGGAGTCAATTATTTAGTTTGAAAAAGAAGGAAACTAAAAGTGTACTGAGAAAGAAGAGGGGAACATGGGTTTGGAATGGATATGGTATAAAGGGGGAGAATTTGACTAATTGTATGCATAAAACCAAGTTCTATTTCAAACTAATTAAATACATTGATATAAGTCTAAAGGAAGAACCTGATTAGAGAAGCACATGGTCAAGTTAATGACCTTAAATAAACTTTTAATGGGAAGTAATCCTTCATTTCCGAATTTTCGCGAGTTTAGTATTTTCTAGATTGTGTTTTATTTTCCTTTTATATTACTATCCAAAGAAAAGCACTTGTCATAACTTGAGAAGCTCTTCCCTGTGTACTTTTTCTTTGTTTGAAATTAATGAACTTGTTTTCTTCTATTGTTTCTTTTAGTTTTAACTTGCTACCTTACTAGTGTCATGATGAAAAAAAAGAAAAAGTCACCAGAAAAAAAAAAGAATATAAGAGATCAACAGTGAAGTTCCCTGGTTAATTGAAGGTTGATGAGGAAAGGAGAAACCTACTACTAGTACTCAAGCTTTAGATACCTCAACTTGTAAGATTTGAGCCAAATATTTTCCATTATTTACTTTTCCTTTTTATGAGAGTATCCATGCATTAGTCATTTTCTAGAATTTTTACTTTTTTAGATTTTAAGTCTATTCGTCTGATAAATACACAGTGTCACTGAGATGGTTGTTTGTGAAAACTCTAAGCCTTTTTAAGTCATAGTGTTTTAATACGATTATATTAGTTTTTTTAACCACCTTGAACCTAAACCTTTTTTTGTTACATAGCCTTATTATATAGTCATTGACTTGAAAGATAAATTTTGTCCACCCTCTTTGAAGTTAGGTAGAAAAAATTGTTCTACTTGTCTGATTCAAAAGATTAATTTTGAGGTTGCTCTTGGAAGTTAACAACTAGTACGTTTGGGATTGGGATACTAGAGAAATTGGTTAAAAAGAAAAAGAAAGAAAAACAAGAATTTAAAATAGCTTCTTCAATAAAAATATGTAAAAAATAGGAAAAATATTATGCAATTCTCTAGTACAATGTGAATTACAAAAGAGTAAGATGGAAGGAATTCATTAACACAGGGAAAATTAGGTACTTAACTCCAAAGGTTTAAGCATATTATCCTAAATTATTCAACCATGGCATAAGTCACGTTACATCCTATGAAAGACCTCAAAATTATGTATTTAAATATAATTTTGATTAATTAAATTAGAAAAAATTTCAAATTCATTATTAAATATTTTTGCATGTTGATTGAGTGATTATCCTATCAAATTAAGTGCATCATTGTGAGATAAGAGACAAGTTGAGTATTTGTATGCCGGAAGAACTTTTCTGAGTTGATTGGATCGAAGTAGTGAACCAAAATGTTGAATGAAAAAATGTGCATTCGTTGGTAAGGCTATGCATTTTAATCTTATGAAATGTTTAAGGTGGAGATACGTTACTTGAGGATAAGCAACATTTCAAATTTGGGATTGTGATGATAGTCGTTATTACGTAAATTTTATGCGAAATTTCGGATGAATTTAGAAGAATATTGATCTAAAGCAAAGCCAATGTGTGAAGATATAAACAAAAATCCAAGACAAAGAAGAAATAAACACTTAGTGAAATTTGTGAATAAAAAGTGAATAAAACAAAGTGTTTGCTTCAGAAGTTCTCGCGTCGGTGATGCATCCCATCGCGACACGATGAAGCTTTTATCACAGTGCAATACTTACTTGTCATAGCACGATGACATGCTTTTTGGCTGACACACAATTTTATATTTAAAGGTCACTTTGGCTACTTTTTTAAGGGTTCTAAATGTGAGAGAGAAAGTGACGGCTATGGACATTCAAGGGGAAGTTTTGGAGCATATTGGAGTCATTAGAGAGAAATTCTTTGATAGATTTTGATGATGAATATTTATCAACTCATAATATTTGTTACTTTATCAATGAGTATCTAAGTTTCTCTAAATTAGGTCTTTTGAAGATGAACCTTATTTTTACTTTGTTGGATCATATGTCTATTTGATATTTGTTGAGTACTTTTAATATTATTATTTTGTAAAAATGTTCTTGTGTTTAATGTTTTTTCTCATTTAAGAGTGTACAAATCGATCTAGATAATTAGGGGTTTTAGGTTGTTAGTCTATTTATTTGATCTATGTATTTTATTCAACTTTTTAATTAACTAGGGATGTGTAATTAGAAGTTGTTACTTATGAATTAACTCACTTAGAATTTCATTCTTATAGCCCCCCCCCCCCCCCCTCTTAATTACTTACAATCGCACATAACTTTCTTACTAAATTACAATGCTCGTGGAGACGATATTTTTTATTATTACTTCGATGTTATCGGTACACTTTTCAAGAGATCATCAGTAGTACATTATATTAAAGTTGAAATGATTAGAAAACTCTGAATAATCCTTTAAAATTGTGGATTTAATTTTGCTCATCTCAATAATTTATGTTTACTAACAAAAAATATATGTTTTTAAATATTTTATAGAAATGAGAAGCAAATAAAGTTGAACACGTGTGTAGAAAATCAATAAAATCTAACACAAGGCTCAAAATATACCAAGGAGATTGATTGGGGTAAGCCTAATTGATTGGCACCTTATGGTAATTGATTGGAAAAACTTGACGCACATATTTTAAGATTAAATCCAAGCTAAACGTAGTCTCCAACTTACACAATCATACAGCCTCTCAAAATTCACCTTCAAAACAAAACAATCTTTCTTGAAACGCTTCGTTAAATTCAAAATCTCATTAAGGACTACGATGTCATCAAACATACATCTTCCTACAAGCTTTTTGGAAACCAAGCTACAAATCACAAGCTTCAACCTATTAGCCAATACTTTGGATAAAGTCTTATGCAATGAGGAAAGCAAACAAATAGGTATATAATTCCTCTGCTGAGGGTTTGACACCTTAGGAATAAGGGTAAAAAAAGATGATGTAGTCGCCTTACATAGAGTAGGATTATCATAAAAATCCTTCACAACTCTTACCACCTTCTCTTTAATCACCTCCTAACAGTTCTGAAAAAAACATTAAAAAAAACTGTCAGAACCTGGGCGCTTTGACGGGCGGTTTGCCCCGTCACTTTCTTAATGATATGATCCCTAACGACTAACAATGAATCATTTATGACTCTAACTCGAACAATATACTCAAAAATAAAACGATTACCTTTTTTAATGACTTTTAATTATAAACTAACTCAACTGATATTAATATTTATAAATCAATAATTTTTTTCTATAATAATTATTATTATATCTAACTCATATTATGTGTTTCATTTATAATTTAATAGTTTAATTATTTCTTATTATGTGCGCCTATATCCAAAACATTGGGAGTACATACTTCAGGCTGTAACATGCACCCAAAGTAATTTCTTGACAACGCGACAAGTCCTTTAGGCTCACCCTCCCCACCTACAACTTTAATTATACTATTTTTGTACAATTTTTTTTTTCCATTACATTAATTTCAAAATCCAACTGCCTATAATATATTTTTATTAAATAAAAACAACTGTTTGAAAGCAGTTTTATATCCCCACAAATAAATTTAACCTATGGATTTTAGTCTTTAAAATCAATTTTTAAATTAATAAAAATAAAACAATTTTACTTTTGACAAATAGCTTAATAATCAAAATTTTACACTTGAAAACAAATAATGATATCTAGCAAGTTAAAATTTTAACTCACGCATCTTCAATATTAGTGTATAGCTTTAGAGTTAGATTAACATACACAAATTTATATTAATATTTTTTTCTGAAAGTTGTTGATTTATTAAAACATTTGTCTCTTATAATAAAGATAAAAATGAGTAATAAAAAACATTTATTGGACAGGACTTCAAGCAGATGAAGTTACTAGTAGTAGTTATGATCCTAATTGTTGTGTCTATATATATATTCATGTAAAATACATTATCCTATGATACATATTAAACCTTCTTTATTTCATTCACAGGAAGAAACAAGTGATTGTTGTGTTTATACAACTCACAAGTTCTTCAATGACTTGTTCATTCTTGCTCTATTTCATTCTATTCTTTACTTTATGCCTCAAAGCAAAGGCTTTGATAAAGCTTCCTCCAAATGTTACAATTCCAGCAGTGATAGCATTTGGAGATTCAATCGTTGACTCAGGAAACAACAATAACCTCAGAACTTTGGTTAAATGTAACTTCCCTCCTTATGGTAAAGATTTTCAAGGTGGTCTTTCAACAGGTCGTTTTTGCAATGGAAAAATTCCTTCAGACATTCTAGGTACTCTCTCTCTCTATCTATATATATATATATCTTTGTCAGGGAGAGAATTTCATGCCATTTTCTTTTCTATTTTCTCTCATTTCTAGTCATGAAAGCAAAACATTTGTTAGTTATATGTTCAAACTTAGAAACTTTTTTTTTTGTCTTTGTTTGTACTGTTTTTCTTTAGCATTATGATATTTTGGGTGTGAAAATTGACAGATAGCCATTTTGATAGGGTCTGAATGTAGTAATCTTTGAATTGGGGATAAAATATTGGAGAGATTTAATGTACAATAAATTACCGATGTTTTTGTGTTTTTCATCTAGATCTTTTTGGCTACAAAAACATTTAATGAAGTTATGATTAAATAAAATTGATAACTAGCAAACAATAACAAGTATTAAAAAGTTTGATTGTTTCATTTATTTATTTATTTATTGATCCTAACAATTTGGAGAAAGTATGACATATTCAACCCACCAAAATATTTATGATTTCAGATTCGTTTTTTGTGGGATCCACCAAATAGTATTTATAATAACATCATATTTTATATTATATATTCTATTTTCCCAGAGAAATATGTATCTTCCTTTGTAGGTTCTTGTTATAATAAAATAAGAATTAATTAAAATATATCAGTGTAAAAATAATTAAAATATTATTTTGAATGGATGTACAGTATAAGAATTAATATCTTAAAATAAAATATAAATTATATTTTAAAAAATTAATTCTTTTTATTGTTTATTTAACTTATATTTATAATTTGAGAAAATTAATTGTTATGCACTCTCAGTGTTAAAAATTTTATATCCGTTGGTATTACTTTTCAAATGATTAAAATAGAAGTCAAACATTTCAAATAAATCAACCGTTATGATTAATTGATAGTGTAAAAATTAATTCAAAATATTAAAACAAATAAAACAATTTGCTTTCATTGAGAGTTGAACTCAAGACCTCCCGCTTACTAAACGGGTGCTCTAACCAACTGAGCTATGAAAGCCACATATTTTGGGTTTGTATCTTTCATTGGAAACTTAAGAACTAAATGCTGTCATTATCCTGATTGTCAAACAAATCAATCTCAAAATTAATGTTAAAAAAATTGTCACATTTATAGAAGGTGGGGATAGAAGAAGGGTGGGAATGTATAAAAGATAGGGGAGAAGAAGGAGAATGATAGTGACAAAACAAAACACTTTAGAAATGTTACTATGCAAGTTAAAATATAGGTACCTATATTTGCAGTGATCAATAAAATTACCATGCACAAAAACAAATTATCATGCAAAGAGATCAAAGTATTTTTCCTATATAATGCATATGCCAACAATATGTAAGATTCTGATTTCCAAAGAATTTCCCTGCAGCTGAAGAATTGGGTATCAAAGGGTATGTACCTGCATATTTGGATCCAAATCTCAAATCAACTGATCTTCTTACGGGCGTAGGGTTCGCCTCCGGAGCATCAGGATATGATCCATTAACACCACAAATTGCGGTAAATATATAAACATATATATCAAAAATAAGTTTTTATCAGTTAAAGTGACACTAATGATTATTTTGTAATATCAGTCGGTGATTTCGTTATCGGCTCAACTAGACATGTTCAAAGAATACATCGGAAAGCTGAAAAACATGGTTGGAGAAGAAAGAACAAACTTCATCCTAACAAATAGTCTTTTTGTTTTGGTGGGAGGTAGTGATGACATTGCCAACACATATTTTATTGCTCATGCAAGAACACAATATGACATTCCTGCTTACACTGATCTTATGTCCAGCTCAGCCACTAATTTTGTAAAGGTAATACATACTTTATATTTATAAATAAATAATAAATAGCTAGGGTTAGGTTGAAATATAGAGCTCTGAAAATGCAAATCTCTCGAAGAATTAATCTTTGCAGCTGTATAGAGAAGATACCTGATTCATGCTAAAAAACTATGTTCGAAGAATTAGTCTCTGCAGTTGTATAGAGAGGATACCTCATTCATGCTAAAAGAAAAACTATGGTTCACTATATGATTTTTTTTTCCTCTTGAATAGGAAATATATAAACTTGGAGCTAGAAGAATTGCTGTACTAGGTGCACCACCAATAGGATGTGTGCCATCACAAAGAACTCTTGCTGGAGGGATAGTAAGAGAATGTGCAGAAAATTATAATGATGCAGCAAAGTTATTCAATATCAAACTCTCAAACAAGCTTGATTCTCTAGGTCACAACTCACCTAATAGCAAGATAGTTTACGTTGATGCTTACACCCCTCTACTTGATATCATTCTCAATTATCAAAAATATGGTAATGCTAACTTATCTCAAAGTAATGTAGAAAAAGTGATTATGCAACACTTATATTACACATTTGTTAACAAAGTTTTTATTTATTGAATTGTAGGGTTCAAAGTTGTGGATAGAGGTTGTTGTGGCACAGGGAAACTAGAAGTTGCAGTGTTATGCAATCGTTTTGACACTACTTGTTCTGATGCTTCTGAATATGTGTTTTGGGATAGCTATCATCCTACTGAAGCAGCATATAGAAAGCTAGTAGATGCAATTAATCAAAAATATTTGACTAGATTGTTTTAAGTTACATTAATTAAGTTTGTCTCCCATGTTAGTTTCTTTTTATATTGTCCACCTAATTTTGTATCTTGATGCGTTTGTTTTGTTTGTTGGACTTTGCAGTCAAAGAATCCATATTCTTGTTTGCTTCATTGTTTCTTTGGGGATTAAGATGATTGATTGTTTTAAGTATTAGTACTTAGAGAATTATACATTTATATAATAGGAGAGTCTATGATGGTTCTTTATGAAAAGTTTATTATTATTAATTAACAATTGATTACTAAAATTGATGGTGTTCATAATTGAATTTAAAAAATAATTGGTAAAAGAAACAACAATTATATTGGTATCATCAACTAAGAGAATTTACACTTCAATATTGAATACTATTTTGAAAAATGAATAATTTCATATTGTTTGGATTAAGGAAGTTGCTAGCCAATTTCCACTATTAGAAGAGTAACTTTAGCCTAAGATATATAGCATTGCATCATGTGTGTATGTATATAGAAATCAATGTAAAGAAATTTCTCCCATTCTCATCCCTATTTTCTATCACCGGAAAATATTTTCCTCCATCTCCACAGTTTTCACAGATACACGAACATCAAATATTAAGAAATTTTTTACATTTTTCTATAAAAACTATGACATTAGTATTTTGTTATTTTTTTCTTTTAAAAGAACACATATTTTTCATCTTTCTTTTTTAAAACAAAAAACACATCTTGCGTGAATTACAAAAAGAAAATGCAAAAGCACTTGCAATTGCTAATATTTTATTTTCTGTCAAAAAAAATATCCAACAAGGCAAGTCTAAGACAATAAAAGTTATAAATCTCACACAATGGTCTCTCCAAAACAGCAAACATGCAAAAATAAAGTCACCTACAACGGTGATTGTTATTGCATTTATGAGAACGAACAAAAAGGAAAGTGATTGTTATGATGATGATAAGAACAGAGGATAATAAGGAATAAAAGAGATAGAGAATTGAGAAAAGAAAAGAGTAAACACTATGTACACTTTTTATATTGGGTTCACTTTTATAGGGTTTGATACTAAAAAACAAAATGATCATTATAGTGTCCACAAATGACTCTTCATTTCCTAATTTATTAATTATTGTTTATTTAAAAATAGATAAAATTATATAATTATTAATTATATAATATATTTTATATAAAATTTAAATAATATGATCGAGGAAGGGGAATCCGTGGGCCAGAGGTTAATTCTCTGATCCCCGCCTCAAAGTGTCATCGAAGGAACTTTTCCCTCCATCCTCATCCCCATGGGAGAAAAAATCCCTGACTTCATATCCCCGAACAGATAATCCCACGGAGATCCCCATTAACAAATGTTAATTGACATCCCTACCTACAGCTATGATCACTCCACCGTGTAAAATTTTAACCATTTCATGTTCAACTCTAGTGCAATATCGTAGATCATCAAAGATGATTATGGATAAAAAAATTCTTTTAAGTTGTGGAACATACTTCACTTTGTGAAGAAGAAACTTACGATCATTGAACATTTTAAGTCTGATTGTAATAATACCATAAATATTGCAAGCGTTATTATCACCAAGAAAAACTACACTACCTTCCTCTAGCCTCAAAGTTTTAAAGTGTTTTTTTCTTTGACACATTTGATAATAGAAACTTGAGTCAATGACCTAACTCTCTTCAGTCTCAAAACTCGACACGACTAATGCACCTGCACTCTCCTGATTATCTTCATTTGATACAGTTGTAATCTGAACAAAATCATCATTGCCCCTCCTCTCAGAAAAATCCCTAATAAAGTGACCAATTTTATGACAATTAAATTATTTTAACCATTGACTTGTCAAACCTACTTGATTTGGATATTCATCTACACTCACTTCCTCCTCTTGAGACACTCAAGCATTCACCATTATTGTCAACTTTCAAATCATTTTCCTTTGAAAGTCACTTAGACTTTACAATCGTTTGGACTTTATTCAAAGTAATAGTAATTTTTACCATAAATAAGGGCACCCTTGAAGTTCTCAATGGATTAAGGTAATAAGTTTAACAAGAGTATAACCTTGTCATCATCATCAACATTCACATCAATGTTTTTCATATCATAATGATCTTGTGAATTTGATCAACTACTCCCCTATAGATTTGTTTGCTCCCATTCGGAATAAGTAGAGTTGTTATTTCAGACACAACCTGTGAATCAAAGATTTGATCATACACAATGAAGTTTTTCCCACATCAAATTTGCAATAATTTCTTTAATGACTCTCCTTTTCAACTTTATTCCCAAGGCACAAGATAATGGTACTTTTGATCGTATCGTCATCTTGAATTTCTCTACTTATGTTAAGTGTGTAGGCATTGATGTATCACCCTTCAATGCTTCAATACACTTATCTCAAGTTAAAATTACTTGCATCTTCATTTTCCACAATCTAAAATTATTTTCCCTAAAAAAATTATATATTTGTCCTTTAGAATACATGGGGCTCACTTGTAAATGAGATCTTCTTTTCCTGCGGTGGACGCAACTTTTTGTGAAAACTCTAACAATTCTAGTGAATCAGTTTATAACTTTTAACATATCAAGAAATTTGATGTGTGAGACAAAGAATAATGCCAACCAAATTTGTGGCCTTAACAACATACTAACTTATTAAGAGTGAATGCAAATACAGAAAAATAAAAAATATATAAAAGAGCACAAAGAAATTTGTATACCCAGTTTGATCAAATTGATCTTTTTTGTATGAGAGAACATTTCTCCAATTCACTATACTTCTAAAAGTTGTTACAAGAGATTACAAAAGAGTTATAAGAAAATAATAACCCAAGTTCCCAAAAACAAACATGTTTTTTACCCAATTGTTTCTCAATCTTGCCAACTTTCTATATATGAATCACACAGGTCCAAAATGTTTAGACGTGTTTCTCAATCCCTTTAGATACCTCCAAGGATTTCCTAAATTTCAATAACTTCAAAGCATTTATTCCCTTGTCCATCTAAGTTTTTCTTCTCAATTCCTTTAGATACCTCCAAGGATTTCCTAAATTTCAATAACTTCAAAGCATTTCTACCCTTGTCTATCTAAGTTTTTCAATAGGATTTTTATCCTTTCTCTTTTTCTTCAGTTCGAAAGTTCTTGAATTTGTGAAGACAAAAATGATATAGATACATATTTATATATGGTGAAATCCAGCAGATCCTTAATAGACTCAAAATACAAGTCATTAACAAATTGATTTGTGCACCAAAACAACCAAGACTAATACACATAAACTAACTTAATAAGGTAGATGCCTTACCTGAACTGTCCTCCAAATATGACCAACAATGTCGATGATTGTCGATAAGTTAGAAAAACCAACACGGCTCACCAAGCATGTCCATTTTTCACCCTATACTATGCAAGTCTCAGCCAATTTCGCCCTCTTTTTTTTTTCAAGTCTCGGCTAATATGTTTGTCTCGTCTTGCTCCATTTTTTTCGGACTTTTAAGTAGGACTACTTACCACCCCTAACTATCAAAGCTCCGCCGCACCACATACAGTTAAACCTCTGCCTTCAAATTCCCTGTCGACGGCCCAATCCTATCAACATTGTTTTTGCTTCTCAATTTTCTAACATGTTAAAAATATTATTTTTTTCTCTTCATTACTCAAAAATTTAAAAGTTAATTCTACACGTTTCTTAAGACAAGATTTGAGCCTATCGTACATATTTATCACTATTCTATACAACATTGTTCACATTTGCACGATGCCAGCATTGCAATAGTCAATTTTTCAATTATAAACATGTTCTATCACGCAAAAGAACCCACGAACTAAATAAAGTAAAGTTTGAGTTAAAAGCTCACGACATTGAGCTTGGTTAAAAAGCACTCTTCATTAAATATTAATCACATTGTACATGAGATGGTTACCATTCTCAATCTGATTCGCCAGATGGGATATCAAGACACATAGAGTTGTTAGGTCATTGGAATTCTTTTTTCAAAATTTTCCATGATTCTCCATAAAAAAACTAGGTGTGTGAAAAAAACATTGGTTTCTCTTAAATAAATAAACAAATCAAATTAGACCCATTTAAAGCCCAAAAGCAATAAACCCGTCGTAAATCGATTTACAAAATCCATATTTGAATTAATCATTTGCAAATGAAACAACTCCCAAATCTTTGTAATTGATTATGGGCATCTCAATAATTTTTATGTGAAACAAATTACAAGTTTCTGAACTGTTTTTGTGAATCTTTTGTCCTTGTGCTCAGGAATTATTTCCGCTTCACTAGAAAATGTAATTATTTCTGCTGTTGCCCTGCCACTAATCTCTGGTATGATTTCATGAGAATGGGACCCATTACTTTAAGTGAAGATGTACATTAAAAAGGGAATTCAGATCTATGTTATTTGATTTTTTATTTCAAAATGGTACAAAGGTCGATAAACAAAATCAATTTGGCAATTACTTGGACACAAAAATAGGGTATAGTCCAATCGAACAAAGAAATAAGTGGAAGATATTAAATGATAGAGATTAATGTAAACAAAAGTGTGGCAACCAAAAGCATATTAGTCCTATATTACAGGAACCATAACCACTATTAATAAAAACAAAATGATGATTAAACACTTGTAACAGATTATAGCAACTTTCTTAATGAGAAATGAAAGTACAAGCTACTATGAAATGGTCCAGAAAAATCAAAACATCTTAAGCAACAGGCACCTCAATATCGGCGGCGGCCAAAACAGCAGGAGGAGGCTGGTTGTATTCCTGAGGTGGGTTGTATTCCTGAGGTGGGTTGTATTCCTCCTCCTTTGGAGTGTGGATAGTGACAATATCAGGGAGGGGTGTTTTAGGGCCCTGTTTCCCTTTAGGATCCCAATCAAGCATAATCTTTACTTTGATACCAAGAACACCCTACAAGACAACATGAAATGAACTGTTACAACTCCATGACAAACAGAATAATTTGAAAACTTCAGAGGCAAAATCATTCTG